ACATGGTTGTCTGCATAAAGGTTGTTCAAGGGTTATTCATAGAACTGCCGTGGTCATACCAGAGTTACGGGCGACACGATATGGAGAGATTATCTGCGTACAATGTTGTAACACGGTCAACTAATTAACCAATTAACCAATCAAATCGACCATACAGTAGATGATCATCCATACATTAAAACCCCGAAAACAAACCCCGAAGTTTGGATTCTTCACCACGTGGGTGTCCAGTAGAAACCCCGCAAGATTATGATGCAAGTCATTTTTATGTCGGCACCTACACTCCTACTCATTTACCGCCATAAACCTTCGTGCTATACCTTTTTTGAATGGATAGTTTCTCCCCTTATCCGTCCTATAACTAAAGGGATACGCGGAATTAGCGGTAAGTTATAATATACCGAGATTAAAAAAAAAAGGTTAAAATATCTAGACCGACTTTTCCAAGGTGCTATACGTACATATATATAATATATGTATATAATATAAATATATAAAAAGGATGAGTGCAAACTTTATTAGCAACACCTAACGGGCTAAATCTCAAGGATCAAAACAAGGTTACTCAAAAGGCATACAATATACAAACAGCTTTGCCGATAACCTGAGCTTCTAAACAGCCAAAGTAAAACCAAGCCGTCTGAAACCTTAAATACAAACCCCAATGAGAGCCTGAAGTGTCTGTTCTAAAGACCTTGGAGAAACATAAATATGGTCTTGGGTTTGTCGTAAGGAAGATTGCTTTATCGTAGTCATGAAACCAAACTTGCAATATAGGTCTATCGTGCATCGAATCTCTTTCCCCATTAGAATTATGCGAATAGCAGGTTGGGGGCAAGACTTGGTAGTATATATTGTCCAAGCATCAGTCAGTACTTGTCTCTGCGTGGCATTTGAGAAAGTAAGCAATCCCACGTTGGTCATACTGTGGCAAAATGCGTCGGCCAAATTAGGGTCTGTAGCAATACCAATGGCTTGCTCCACCGATATTCTACCATAGAACTTGCTGCGAGAAGATGCGTTGAATAATAATATTAGAGCTGTGGGAAAGCTTGCAGGCATCGATGCAACTCTTGGCAACTGAAGCATCTCAAGAAACTCGAAAAGCAGTTGGAGAAACTCAATAAAACACACTCCCGTCAAGTGCCAAAACTCTACGAAAGGGAGTCTATGCTGCGAGAGACGTCGATTGTCCGCTAAAGACGGGGAAGGTATCGGACATTGTACCGTTGAATGTATGTGTTGGATACATGACCGAGGGTCTGAAATCAAGTCCAAGCATAAGTAACAATGCTTAGTTTTGGTGATGATTGCTCGAAATTTGGTTGCTCTGCGTTTTATTGTCGCTTGGTAGCGTCTTAATATGATATTTGGTTTAGTTGTCTTACCTACGATATATACATCTATGAATGGACCAGGCGTTTCGAAAAAAAAAAAAGAAAAAAAAAAAAGACGAGTGTTAGACGAATATTTCTTGTTTCTTTCAAGAATACCTGGTTTTAATGCTCTACTAGAATATAATAAAAAAATCACGGAAGGAAAGAAGGGAATAAATAAGTTTTTACAACAATTTAACCAGCCGGATAATATCTCGCACGCTAACCAAGTAGGAGCGTAGCTGCATATGTCAGTCGGGTGTTCTCTGTCACCAATGTTCTGCCGATCTGCCACGTGGACTTCAAGGTCCTTTTGTTCCCGTGTGGCTCCTCTGCCGTGTCTATCATGAAGGTGGAGTTGTCTGCCCGGTGGGTATACAAAGTACATCGTATGTTGACCCATGGGACCTTTTTCTTTGTACCTTTTTTTTTGGCCTTATCCTTACGTACTTATAGATCAGGTACGCAGTACAAGTAGTTAGACCTGATATTTTGCCTGTGAACATGGTTTATATAAAACAAGAATAGTCGGCCGGATATGTGGAATTGTCACGTCTTTTTAGTAGGTCTTTAGATCTCTTTTGTCTAGTCCTTGATATATACTCTCTCTCTCTCTCTCTCTCTCTCTGTGTGTGTGTGTGTGTGTTGTGTGTACACTTGATCTCGTCAAATATACCTAATCAGGTTGTCAGACATTTTAAGTAGTCCCTAGCGTGGACATACATGCAACCATTGACAATTGACACCTGCCAAGCCTTATTATTCCCCAATCCAGTAGAAATTTCAGGAACAGGAGAAAAACAACAAAGCATCGACACTAGACTCAAAAATTTGCTAGGAGGCTGCCCCTTAATCAAGAAAAACAGCAGAAATAAGCGAAACAGGCACTCATCTGGGTATCTGGGTATATGGTGGCCCGCTGAACCATGGAACTACCTGAAACGGGCTTCTTGGCGTCTTCCAGAATCCTTCTAGAAGGCTTCTAGCGCTTCCCAAGGATTTTGCCCACATCGGAGTTCTCCGTTAACCCCTTTCGGACGGCACAATGGATGACCCCGTACTCCGTATAGGTATGATTCAGGGCATTTTCAAAGTCTGGTTCGACAATTCATAGTCTACAACCATTTAAAATCTATGACGTGGTTCACTGCTACACTCTCATTCTGCATCATCTGTTTTCAGCAAGTGGAGTCGACCACGAACGGGTACGAATACACCGTATTTTACATCAAGATACAGTATAATATACTCGTATAATACACACGGGCGAAAGGGTCATATTACTACAAACGGCTAGGGACCTCGGGTATATGATGTGCACACTTCAGCCACTCCCATTTGTGTAAACAGAGTTCAACTTCAACTTCGCGACATTGAAGATCATCTCTTATCTACTCTGGATATGCCCGCAGATCAGAGCCTTGATGATGGCGTATATGGGAAACATCTACTTGGCATTTCTCACAAACAATCGGGATATCCGAGAACAACTGATATTCGAGTCCAGCAAGTCCAAAGTACAACGTGAAAGACGCAAATCCGATAAGGGGTTCAAACATGAATATTAGAACGGCAACTCCAGACCAAGCCCCCAGAGATAGTACATATACACCCATCTCCCCCAACCTGCCACCGAATAGGCAACAGATGTGATGAGGCTCTGTTCACCAAGTGCTGCGTGCACGGGATTCTACTAGTGTTTTCGCTAGTCTTGCAGGGAGAGATTCTGTCAATCAGACTCTTTGTCAGGATCATCATCCCAGCAAGATTGGCTATGTGGCTGAATAACAAAGTACGGTGGAGAGGTCGTTGCGCAAGCCACATGGTCCCAATACGGGGATCACACCTATGAGAATCACTAGACACCTTGCTTACGAATTGCGGCCAACTACTGTACCTAGGGGATGATCGGATCTGCGCTCGAGGTCTAAATTATCGTATCGACCTCTCTGGTATTCCACGTGGCAACCTCAGCTATACTTCCCCCACATGTGTGTCGCTCCCGAGCAGATTCGACACCTGCAATGTGATACGTCGTCTCGGGGGATTTTTTTTTAGCCAGTCTAAATCTGGACCATTGATGGGGCCTCGGGAACGAAGATCGATCCTGTAATTGAAGATTGAGATGATATGGCGATCTAGAACATCTAAGTGTACTTTGGGATATCAAGGGGTAGTGACGGTGAAGACCGAGATTCATCTAGGCCTTGTCTATCCCCAGCCTGGCCTAAATTTAAATGTATGTTGTATACTTCACCCAGTAACTAGTTACCCCGAGGCCAGGGCTTACTAGGTGTTTAGAGTTTAGCATGGCCAGCCCGCCTAGGGAGCATCAGAGCATAGTTGAAATCCCAATCGTGCAAGCCACATTCCTACAGAAAAGGGAACTAGTACTCGGATGTTGGCTCCCTGAATTCCGTAGAGATCTGCGCACAACCATGTAGTTCGGGGTATGTAACTATGAAGTACACCTGCTACATGCAGGGACCCTCGAATAAGCAAGGAGGTGATATGTGGCAAGGAAAGTAAGTTGCCTGTATAACTTGTACAAGATGAGAATTGTTCTATGTATCTTTTCGGCAAGGTATGTCCCAGAGCTAACCCATGTACATAGGCTTTCCATTCGTGCTGACCGAAATCTAGGGACAACCCTGGCCCTGAAATGAAGGATGTTAACTTTTGTCCTGAAAGGGTAGGGTTGGCATCTTGGCAGTTGAACTTAGGCAGTTTATTTCTCTTTTGGGGATTATTTTGACTTTTCATGACTCGTATCGAAACGTGTATCTTATGCAATCCACATTATATTTATATCATATGCATCTAGGTGGTGACTATTACCCCTGAATATTCAAGGCTGCAGGAATCCCTTGTCGCGTGGCCACCAGGGATGTTGACAGCTGGAAAAATACAATACCATGTGGCATAGATTACAAGTATTGTAATATTGTATACAATATTACGTACCGCAATGATCAACAAAAGGATCAACTGAAGTCATATCTTCCTGCTTACCGTTGAATGTCTGACCGCAACTTTAGACTCTCAATAGGAAAACCTCCGTGAGCCAATCTGTTAGCGGGTCTCAATATTGGATAGCTTCAATCCACTTTAAACATACTAGGCGGAATAAACCGACAGGGATAGTTTCCACTAGCTTTTCTTTGGGCTTAGTGTCTCACAATAATGGATCTGATGTGCAAGACTAATTGGATTGGAAATAATCTACGGAGTACAACATATGTTGTATATGTACGAAGTACAGAGGGGGTATGGAATACGGAGGTATCGAATTATTCGCTAACCCCCTTGAATTGTTCACTTTGTCTTATTCAGACTCCTTGAAACCAGCCTAAACCCCATCACTCTTAGTATAGAGCCGCACGGAAGTAATTGTAGCCACATCGGCATTGCTCATACAGGGCTGAGCCGAAATTATGCGACCGGAAAACCCCCTTTGGCCCCCAAATCCATCACATAAGCCCCTCTCCACCCAACCCCCACCTGTTGGGACTGTTTTTTTTCTTCTCGGATTATCTCCCTTGCTTCAATATCACGTGGCACCGTTCGATCCTGCTCGATAGATCTCAACAGTTTTGCAGTAGATATGACACGTCACTTATTCGAATGTTCTTATCGCCTTCCAAGTTTTCTTGTGATGTAGAATGTCATATCCCGATCTGCGCTATCCAATTTAACTTCCGTTGGCTAATCTCGTCTTGCGGGGGAGCCAATCTCGTATTATATGGTATGCAATCACTGTGTATCTTTGCTTAATCTGTCTTTCTGCCTAGGTTTGAGCCGTCTAAACCTTTTAGTTGAAGATCTAGGTACTTCGTACTCCGTACTTATGTTGTGTTTACTCCGTACGCAGAATACAACTTGTTTAGGTAAGGCTAGCCGGCACCTGGCGGATGAAACTCGCACTGACGTCTTGCATTGTCGTTTCGCGTGACCTGTCCCGGGAGGTTTAGTTGGTCAACCCTGTTTCTTAGCGAGCACTGACTCTTAAAGGGGTCTCGCTGACGTGTCAGATAGCTCGATCTAGACGGGATGATTGATTAGCTTTTCCGAAACTCTCAATTGTGAGTGTGGTTCATGCAACATGAAAACCTTGGGGCCATCCATATCTGTGCCCTCGTGTTTGGGGCGCTGTCTCAACGGGAATCAAGTGTAAGATGAGGCTCTCGGGGTGACCGTTGGCGTTAGCTCGCTAACGTTGGTCCCCAACGGCGGAGAAGGTGAGATTACCAACTCCTGCATCCACTGCGCATTGATCACGTATTTCCAGAGCCCATATGGACGATAACAAAATTGACGATCATGATCTGATCCTCCAGAATTTGGCGGGTATGCCACACTAGGGCGTCTCCGGTTTGAAGGCGCTAATTGTTTCGCCAAGACGGTAAAACCCCGTGGTTTTCGCGAAACCTGGACGGGGAGGAAGCTAACATGGTCTCCAGGAACTAAGATACAGATGGAGTACACGAACCAAAACCGTTGAAAGGTACGGAGTAATAATCTACGCTTCAATTTTATGGAATTTATTAGCGAGAGATGCCCCCCATCATAACCCGTAACTTAGACACCCAAGGAAATGATTCGCGAGACTGCGCCTCCCTCTAAGCGCAAAATAGTAAAAAGGGATTCGGCGGTCAGACGCTAAGCATCTCTCTCCACGTGTGCCCACGTGGGACCACATGGGTTATGCACATGAAATAAAAAAGAAGGCGCTTGGAATCGCCATGGAAGCCTGGAAATTTGGACCTTTTTTTTTCCTTCTTGACCGCCTTGATATATTTCAAGGTTACACGCAAGATCCTTAAAAGGGAAATACCCCTCCCCCCACTATGACTATTCAACCTGGTATATGGTTGTCGGGTATAATAACGGGATTATATGATTATATATTAATTATCGTATCTCCATTTCGCGCTGTGCAATATAGTGTAGTTTCAGGATCAAAGCCTATATGCGACATGCCAAATTAGGATTAGCGACGAGACGAAACACTCGTGTTTGGATCAATCTACTCCGTTCGAAACATAGGTGTCCCAAGGTTCCTGTTGTCCCCACCATTGGACGATCGGTGTGGAAGTGGGGGGTTTAGTCCGATGGCGACATGTGATGTCCACTGTATGAGGGTGTTTCTTGAATATCTGGAGATAATGGTAATTAGGGCAAATAATGCCCACTCTTCGGCTACACTCCGGACTTAGTGTATACTAATATCGATAATAACGTCTCTGATCTATTTTCCGGGCATGTTTGAGGTGGCTTGGTGTGGGCCAGTAACTATTTAGGAATAAGCACAGAAAAGCCCCCGTTGTCATATCTAGGTAGACATCGGAATTACTCCAGGGTTTTTGCCACTTCGATAAGGTTAACAGGACTCCCATGGTAGGCAATGAAAATGTCAACATCATATCGTGAGCATTTCGGGAAGTGTAAGGATTCCCACGTGGGCTCAAGCTTTACATCATTACCTGGTTTGTCAGCATACAGCTTACGCATGAGAAATGGTGAAATGGGGTGTATTCAAATGTTCTATTGAAGCTGAGAGTAGATCATTCCAAATACAACTAAAATTAGGGTGTATAATGTACATTATCTACGAAGTAGATATTATGTTGTATATAGGTCACACTGAAGATTCAGATCTCGGATTTGCCCGTTAATACTCCGAAGCTCCAGATATTTATCAAAAACAAAACAAAACAAAACAAAACAAAAAAAGACAGAGAGCTAGTCCGAAGTCAGTAAGGTAGTAGTGACTCAGACAGGGGGGATTTTAGAACAATGAAACGTGTTGGGTATGCAACATTCAAATGTTTCAATGTTGAATGTTCATGTTACGTGTATTACCGGTACGGGCGTATCACGATCTAGCGGATCGATTCGGTTGGCCATGGAGCATCGGTAAATCCATGATATCATTGGAACAGATTGGGGGAAGGGATCCATTCTTTTTAATTAATTTCTTAGTTGGCTCCATCGGTTGATTTGGAATCATATCCAAACTATGAGAATAGACTATCAGTGGACTATAGAATCCAAAGTTAGTTACCTAGGTATATTTCATATATCCCAGCTATTTGGTTAAGATATACTTTCAACCTTCCCCTTACATTCTAAATGCAACCTGGAAGAATCTATTAAAAAGAAATTTAAATAATTTAAATATAGAAATTGGAAGACCAAGTATGTACTATGCAGGTATGGTATTATACATGTGTAAATACCAGACCCCAGAACCCACCGATCTTCATGGCCCACGTTGTTTGGATGCATCAGACCAAACTCTTTCGGGATCACGCGTGGGCTGTGGATCATAGGCTGACAGGCCGAATGGTGCTTCTATTCTTTTTTTTCTTTTCTTTTTCTCTTTTTCTCCCTTCTTTTCTCATTTCGTTTTCCTATTCTTCTTTTTTTCTTCTTTTTTTTATATTTTTTATTTCATTTTAAATATATTATTTTCCCTTCGATCCCGTTCTTCCCCCTTTAGACCCATCTTTCTTCTACTTCTCCCTTTTCTTTTCTATTGAAATTAATTCGAAAGAATAAAAAAAAAGGAAAATAATAAGAGGAAATTGTCATAGTGTATAATTTCCTTACTCTCTCCCTCTTCTTATCCTATTTTTTTTTTTTTACATTTTTTTACCTTTGGGAATTAGCAAGTCCACTTCTTAAATCCTTTTTTTTTTTTTTTTTTTTTTTTATATTCTTTTCTTTTCTTATTTTCTTTTGACCAAAAAAAAAAAAAAAAGTCCCATGTTTTTTTCCGGTATCAGGTGTTTAGCATAACCCACTTTTCCCTCTGGTTCAACCCGAAGACTCAAAACCATTCAATGCCAACTCAAACCGGGAGCCACACCCGAGAAGATTCTCTCCCTTCAGTTCCTGATTCTGATTTTGGCGGTACTATCTCCCGCAATCGTCGCTCTTTCGCTGCTTTAGCACAGAAAACTTCCAACGCTCTTGCTAGTTTATCTGGAAGTACACTACGTTCCTCGACTTCATACGGTAGCCTATCGAAACCGCATAAGCTCTCCGCAACCCCTGTGACCCCACCATTCGACAACACCTACGTGCAATTGACGGGTACTTCGCGTCCTTCTTCTCCGGCCTTGGTCGACAATCCTCCCAATTCGCTTCCAAAGCGTCGTTTGACTATTCAGCGTCTTCCTACTCCCCCCGCGAAACCCGCTCTTCCCCGCCCGCACCCAAGATGCATCAGACGTCGTCAAGGTTATTGCGCATGACCGAGGATGAGCGACCATTCACCAAGGTAGGTTCAAAAATATGAATGGGAAAAAGGAAATTTTTTGGAAACAATAGGGCTGATTTGCGCAGGATTTCATGGACTTGTTCTCCACATTGATGGTCAGCTTGAAGTTGGATTCGCACCGCGTTCGTTTCACACGATATGACCACACATTCACCTCAGAAGAGGCCATCAACAACTTGGGTTCGCTCAAGTTCTCTCAGTCCAACCGCATGCCCGATCCAAAAGACCCATCCCGCATCGTCACCACCACCACGACTACCACTTTCTCCATGGCCAAGGAAATGGCCCGATCCGTTTGTCAACGGTTTGTTGATGCGCGCTTCATTGAATCTGTCGACGGCAAAGCGCTTTTGATCTTCCCGCTCAAGGGCGCCCTCTTCCAGCTCACCCCGAAGGGGATTAATATCCTGCAGCGTTTCTGCCAGCGGAATGGCATCACCGCTCGTCACGTGATGGATGTACTAGAGTCGCCGCGCAACACCATGCAGCTGGTGAATCTCGAGCGTGACACGGAAAGCGACAAGCTGTCCCATGATCGCGCGACGATCGAGGTTATTTTCCGCCGCTTTGCTGGTCAGGATGGCCCGAATATTAAAAGCAGTATTTCAACATCGGATTCCGACTCGCTTAGTGACTACACCAACGGCCTGGTTGGTGTGAAAGTGGCTCGGGAGCGCAAGCTTCTAGATGGGAAGGTTTATAGCAACACATTCACTGGGAAAGCATCGGTGGACTGGTTGATGGATTGTTCAACTACTATTGAGCGTCGAGAAACCTGCTTGATTTCTGAGCTGTTCCTCAAGTACGGCCTGATCACGATGATTCAAGACGACAAACAATACCCTGATGTTGGACCCAGTGCTCATTTCCAGCCTTCCAAGTATGCCATCTACGGCATTACCGAGCGTGGACAGCGCGTATGTGGATGGATTGCCCGCGAGAAGACCCGCGAGGTTGCGATGACATACGACAGTCGTGGCATGCCACGCGACTCCAATAATGCCCGATTGACCCACATCCTGCAGGACCCCGCTCTGCGTCTGCTTTTCCGGGAATTCCTTCGCTACTCGCTGTGTGAGGAGAACCTGTCTTTCTATCTCGATGTCTCGGAATTTACTACGAACTACCACAAGGCCGAGAAGATGGGTACATTTAATAAGGTCGACTCAGTGCGGGAAACTTTGGCGGCAGCATACGGATTGTACAACGCGTTTTTGGCTCCCGGCTCACCCTGTGAGCTGAACATCGACCACGCGCTTCGCAACAGCCTCGCCAGCCGCATGACCAAGGCCGTGGGAGACGACGAGTCCATGTTTAAGAGTCTTCAAGAAGTGGTACACCTGTTCGAGCTTGCTCAAACTTCCGTGTTCAAACTGATGTCAAGCGACTCTGTCCCCAAGTTCCTGCGCGACCCCAAATACTCCGTTGTTCTACAAGAACACGACGTAGACATCCTGGGAGCCCCACGTTCATACTCGCCCACGCCAGCCGGTCCGCCTTCACTTCCAGAACGCAGCATGAGTCGCTCTGCGCGTGCCTGACAACCACCGCCCACAAGTATTGATATAGTCCGCAACCCATTCGAAGACGATTCGTATCACTGCGATTCCGACTCCGACTCATCATGAGCCTCCCCTTCTTCGGTGCATTACTGCCCGAACCATTCAACACACGCAGTCTGGAAATTAACATTCGAATGCCACCCCCAAGGCACAGATCGAATCTCTAACCACCTTGCAACCCGGCACTCATGCTTGTGGCCCCAACACAGAAGCCCCCGTCACCTTATCCAAAAGGGGAACATGAAATATCCGGTCGACCTTGACACCCGATTTCATCAATCTCGTCATAATCGTTCTCGACCACGAAGTTCTTTACTTTTTCTCTCTCTCTCTCTCTCTCTCTTTGTCTCTCTCTCTACCTCTCTATCTCCTCCGCATGCAGTCCAGTCACACACTCTTGACGAGTATGTGTCTGGCTACCATACCCATTTTTCTTTTTTTTTTAATCCACTCGTCACGAGAATCTCCCACTCCGAACGAAAGACGTTATGATCGATGGCTCATGTTATAGAGAAGTCCGGAACTGGAAAATATTTGTAATATTTGGATGGCATTGCTTTTTTTTATTTTTTATTCCCTTACTCTTTGCATTTCCCCAGGGGAAGTGTTGAAAGGGAAGACTTGAAGAATCAGAAAAAACAAAAAAAAAAAAACAAAAAACAAAATACTGAAAACATGAAAGATTGGAGAGGCTGTTTCTTTTTCTTTTTTGAGCATCAGACCCGGCGTTTCCTTGCATGTCCTTTTTCCTTACGTGCTTCTTCATATTCTATTCTCTGTTCTCTTTCATACAACTCATCATCCTTTCTACATTTGTTTTTTTTTTATCTCTCCATTTGAGCATGTCATGATTCCAAATTTCTTCTTTTTTTTAATGCTTTTCTTTCTATCTCGATTTCGATTTCCTGAGTCTCTTTTTTCCCTTAAGTTCCCTGCATCGTTCTACCCGGGCACAGCGAGTGAGTTCTGGTCTGCTTGTGTATGTCATATTATTCTTTAATTGAGAATTTCAACGAACATGATCTTATATTCTCATATCTTCCAAGTAAATCTTCAATGGTCTTTCCCAGAAACTGTTCTAGTCGTAGGCTATCTTCAACATCTTCAACACCCTTAGAATGTGCTATGAACTAAGTACCTTTATATCAAACAAAAGTCCAAGATACAGACAGAAATTCAAATGTATTTGAGCCTAGATCAACTATACATGACAAGAACGAAAAAGAAAAATAAAGACAACCACAACGCCTAGAACTGCGCCTTGAATGCCGATGGTCATCATATTCTTAGAAAATAGAGGGTATTGAGAGAACAAGATGACAGGAAATCGAGAAAGAAGAACGGAGACTCAAACAAAAGAAGAAGAAGAAGAAAAAGAAAAAAAAGCTCTACTTAGTTCCCCATCCACGAAGTCTCATTCCCTCCTCAATAGCAGTCCAAATACCCTCAACAACCTCCCGATCCCGCCACCGTCCACCACCATGAACACCATTCTTCTCGTCCCAGCGCTCAACAGCATAAGTCGAAACACCACGACCCCACCCCTTAACCTGACCAGGGATATCCTCACCCCGCCACCCGACATACACACCGGTAGCATGCTTGAACAGCTCAGGTGGCGAAGACCACTTGTAAGACTTGAACTGCCATGTTTGGCCGGTAGTAAAGACGGCGACGAGTCGGTTCCAGTACTCGGGCTTGAAGTTGGCTGTTCCGTCGACGACGATGAACTTGGTTGGACGGGTGGGTTTTCCCGCGCGGGAACTTGCGCTCGCGCTGGGGTTTGAGGCGTCGCCGTTCAGACGGAGAGGTCGCTCCAGCTTCACGAGGTTGGCATCCGTGGCGCTGGAGAGTGTTGGGTGGTCCGGGGGTACGAAGATTCCTTCTTCGAGGAAGGATTTCACGTTCGACATGCGGATGAGAGAGGAGGCGGAGGGAGAAATTAGGATGATTGGGTCGGGGCGGGCGTGGGAGGAGCTCGATTTGCGAGATGATGACATCGAGAGACCGGCTGATGGGGCTGGGATGGTGCCCTTGCTGCCTGGTTTGGCGCTTGGTTGGCCCGGGCGACTGCGGTTGCGGTCGAGGAATAATTCGGCGCTCTTGCGGACGTGTGAGAAGTCCTTGGAAGTGGGTTAGCTTGCGGTCTATCGCATCCTGCATCTGGTCTAGGGTAAACTCACTGTCGGCTTGATTCCCCGCAGCACTGTGTTGCGGTCTCCCGTCTTGCGCTCCCCATTGTAAATCTCCTGTAGTCGAGGGTCAATCTGCTTTTGTGGGCGGCCGAGTTGGGTTCCAGGCTGGGCTGCTCCTGTCGTTCCACTGGGGACGGAGGTGACGCCGCCGATGGCACCGGCGGCAATTCCGGCGGCGTTATCGGCCTGCGCAACACCTGCTGCCGCGGCGGCGGCCTCAGCAGCGGCAGCGGCACCCTCGAGGGGTTTGATGTGCTCGCTGTCGTCGGAGGCACCCTCTAGCCAGGTGAAAAGGTCAAGACGCTCGAGGAAGATAAGAATCTGGACGCTTTCCTCCTTGTCACCCTCTTTTGTCTGCTGCTTCAGCGCTTCGTTGAATTCCTGCGCCTTGGCGATGTACTCGGGAATGGCGACATCTTTGTTCTGCCAGGCGAAAAGGATACTGCGCAGGTCAACAGGGGATTTGGTAGATGCTGAGATGAATCGTGTGAGGGTTGACAATGCGATTGTTTGAGGAGCCGGTTGAGCGAAGTAGAGATGTGTGGCTTTGGCCAGGTCGTCTGTGGCAGGTTGGTCGGAGAGCTCGGACGAGGTTGTCGGTGTTGGGAGGTTGCCAGAGGCAATCGCCCGTCGTAGTGACAGAAGAGGATCTTGGAGTGCGGCCTCGGATGCCATTGTTGTAGATAGGGCAGTGGCCCTTGGTTGCAGCAGGTATATGAAAGAAAGTTGCCGGGGCTGGGATTGAAGAACGCGCAGTTGGAGTCGAAGCTCCGCAGATTGCACGTGACGTGGTGTTTCAATCTATTGCGAGTGAGACCTTCTACTCTTCAAAAAGAATAGTTTGAACATGATATTTTATATTTTCATAAAGAGATAGCTGCTAATTCATTCTCTTTGTCATACCCTCTTTAACTATGCATACACCAACTGTCGCTGTCTATCCTCTGCCCATATACTCCATGGCTATTCCGAACAATCAACAGAGACACCGCAGTGCAGGGCTGATATACTTCCACATCCAGCTCCATGCACCGAAAAATGCCGTGATACCAGTGAAAAGAATCAGTGTTCCATACTGTGTTTCATAACCAGTATTACCTCTCAGACCACTCGACTCCCCCAAAGACCCCGACTTAAGCAGCACTGTACTTAACGGTCCACTAATAACATTTCCAATTCCTCGTCCACCAGCAAGAAGCCCAAAGACAAGTCCAGTGTCTAGAGATGGCGACGAGTCACGCTTAATCTGAGTAATGACCCCAGACCAGGTGGAGCTGAATCCTCCAGCAAAGAAGCCATACGTGATAGAGAAGATAGTAAGAAGGGCAATGGCTGTCTGTGACGAGTCTGCACTTGAGGATGATGCCATACCCCAGAATAGAAGTACTGATAATGCCGATCCAACTGAGGATAGTAGCATGATGTTTGTGACGGAGAAGCGGTCACAGAGTGCTCCTAGGGCCATCCCACCAAAGACAGATGTTGCGTTGAATAATGAGACTAGCATTGTACCGGTGTTCTGGGATAGCCCGACAGTCCTTGTCGAATAAGAAGGAAGGAATGTCGTTGGTAAGAAATATCCAAAACTCTGGATAATATTCCCTGTCTGTAGCATCCAGAAAGTGGGTTGTGTGAGGAAGCTCAGATCCAAGCGGCGTGCTGAAGAAGATGGCGATATTGGGATACGGGGTTTCATAAATGGTAAGGCCATGAGGGTAGTTAACAACTGTATTCCGACAATTCGGATTTTTTGTCAGCCGAGGTTTGTGATCGTGAAGATCCTTGATAGCCTGGTGGTCTGGTATTATACCAAAAACACATCATCTTATACTTCAATTCACAAACACCAACAATACAGAGGAAAGGGTTTAGATCATACCGTAACAACAGCCCAAGCCCTTAATGTAGTACTTGAGCCAAACCTATTCAGACAAGCACTGGCAATGAAAGGCAAGGCGACTCCAGCAATGCTCTTTGCAGCCCACATAGTTCCAAGCGCCAGGCCCTTGCGGCGCAAGAACCACTGGTCAAGGTACAAAGAGGACGGACTGAACAAGAGCCCATTCCCAATAGCACAAATGACACCCTGGGTGGCAATCAAATGCCATACCTGCTCGGAGAATGAGGATAATAGAGATCCTATCACGGTGATGACCAGGCCTGCGGGTGCAGAATAGTATTGTAGATGCGGGTATCTTGTTAAAAGCGTGAAAGTGATAGGTGAGAGAAGATAAAGAAGTCCCTATCATAAAGCATTAGAGTAGACTGAAGACGGAGTCCTAGTTTATCCTTTGCATACGGTGGAAGTAGTTCCAACAGTTGCCAAGTCATTCTTGCTTCCTTCTAGGACGTCATGTGTTGAGTAGTACTCTTGAAAGACACCAAAGACAGCGGAGAACCCTAGATGCTTGGTTAGTATTTACATGCGGTTTATTGTTTAGTAACAACAGACCCCAGACTGGTATCTGAATGAAGCAGCATGAAGCTAACATCAGCCATGCTGCCTTACCTTCATCTGCTGGAGGAAGTGTAGGTTGTTCGATCTCAGAGACCTCTGTAGATCTGTGAGGATGAATCCCGTTCAACACAAGAGTTTCATGATTAGAGTCGTTCATTTTGCTTTAAAACCAATGGCATAAGCAATGCATATGAGTTGAAGATGAGAACAAAGTTGATAAATGAAGGAATGAGAGATCGCGTGGGGAGTTTCCCCTCGCGACAATTGAGTCATCTTGTGCTTTCAGCCTATCATCTCGCATATTCAAATTCAAATTGAACTAGTCTGACTTTGTTTCGAAAAGAAAGGGCTCTAACTTGGGTTTGAGATTAGCAATAACTTCTGATACAGAGAGATATCGGAGAATAAAACATGCTAGGTCGAACATACACCAACCAACCTACAACGGCGAGATCAACAAAACAGGACAAAGTTACATTGTTCATACAAGCTATCTAGCGTCTCGAAAAGAGGCCATACATATCCAAGATTAAACCGGACAAATCGTGAAAGATCAAGTGCTGCAACTCAGACAGACACATTTCTCAAAGACCCTGACCCAAATGGTATTTCCCATAACCAAGAACCAATCCCAAACCACGCCATACGCCATCCAGAGTCCGAAAAGTCGGAGGGGGAAAATAAAAAAAGAGAAGCTGGCACACAAAATAAAACAAACAAAAAGTTGAAACAAGTAGTCCAAACGCCCGTGCCGGCCTCGCTATAAGGTATCGAAATGAAATCACACGAGAAAAGAAATTTTGGGTCGTAAAAAACGTTAAATCCACGGCGGAATTTTCCTTTTATCACAGGCCCACCATTACTACCACGCGGATGGTCGTATTACGAAGAGATAGACGGGTTTTTGGTGGGTGTTGTCTCCGGTGCATCCTCCATGGAGATATCTAGAGAGTCGGAGGGCTCGTTCTTGTCACTTCCAACTTCGGTCTTGCGGGGAGGTTGATGATTATCACCGAACACCGTCGTTATGGCTAGAAAATGTTGGGTGCGAAGACGAGAATCGCCAGGAGGCGGACCAGGAGGTGGACCAGGAGCTGGGGCAGGAGTTGGTTCCGAAGTTGGGGTGGTCGTCATGGTGCCACGTCGAATCAGATAATCACCCAGACTTAGTTTCTTCTTGGCAGGTGTGGCTGCGAGTGCAGAGCCGGAAGATGGCACGAGAGAGATTGGGGAAGCTGTGTCATGAGAACTAGGTGATGCGAGACTCCCTGTCGACATGGAACTAGGGCTAAGCGCTGACTGGAGGTTCGAGGCCCTCGGCGGTGGCATGGAAACATGCAAATTGCCACGATTTCCAGCTCCAGGATTCCTAAAAATATGCGCCGCAGTAGATGGCCAATAAGGCGGAACTGACGGCTTGAGCGGATCACCGCTAGACACAGATGCAGATGATTCCACTTTGTGTGAGAGAGCACCCCGAGTATCAATATCGCCTTGGACGAGCTGCGTAGGAGGATCATAATGCATTCCTCTGATCGAAATCCCATGGTATTTGAATTCGGGCTGGGGATACTTGGACTGGTGGAAAGACCACCGAGGGGGCATCGCAAGGGGGCCGTGATCAGGAGGTATTCCCATTCTGTCGGAATCTTCCCTGAGCAACTCGATATGAGACCTGTCGTCGACTGGGAGCGGGAACCAACCGTACCACCAGGGGAGGACTCCAGATGGCACGACATTCAAGTTTCCGGCCTCCCATGCATCTCGCTGAGCACAGTCCTCTGCGACGTGAAGTCCCGCACACCACCGAATCTTAAGCATAAGTGTTGGATGGATCAAGTCGAGTCTGTACCCTCGCCTCAAACGCTCTGCATGCAAGAAGGAGCGTTCAACGTCATCATCGTAAAGTTCGGTTTGAGCGTCGACATAAGCAACATCACGCCGGGACGATGGTCCTGCCATCTCAGAGGATCGAGACGGGCCAGGCTCGTGGTAAGGTTTGAAGTCGTAACCAGTTTGGGTGGAGCTCGAGACCGTTACAGGGGTGGACTGTGTCGCAGGGCCACTGGAACGCTTTTTCCTTTTGGGATTGGTGGTTCTAAGCTGCTCTAGCTGTTGGAACTGCTTTTCGGCATCCGCTATCTTGCGTCTTTCACGACTGGAGAGTTCTGGCAGCGTTAGCTGTTGCGACACCGTGGGGCTGAGATCGCGACTGCCAGTGTGTCGGCCACGCGCAGAGCCAGAAGTTGATCGGGCGTCGGCTGCGGGGTCATTCTCATCAAGATGCTTGGTGGTCTCGCTACCGGCGCGACCGATGTCAGTGGGAGGACCGAGGGTTTTTGGCTTCTTGCCCTTGCCCTTGCCCTTCGGCTTCGGCTTGGCGTGTTTGCTGGCAAGGGCCCCTGGCTTGGCGCGACGATCAAGCTTGCTCAGTACGCAGGCTTGAGGGTTACCACAAGCACAGCCACCAAGGTTGGCCAATGTGGTGCTAATGCAAATAGCGGCGTCTTTCGGATCTACTACCCTATCCTTAAACTCCTCCTTCACTGTCGCGTCGGCATGAAAGAAAGAGTCGTCGAAATACCACATGGTGGTAATTTCCGAGTTTGCAGGGATTTGCTTTTTAGCGACGAAACAGAAATGGTACTGCCGACCATTGGTGATGTAGATTTTCAGGTTAACGTTGGCCTCACATGACCGCCTGACGTAGCGGAGCTCGTTTCCTTCCTGTCGACTGTCGATATATAAGTCCAGCTGCCGGTTGAAGAATACGAAAGGCATGGCATGCCCCAATTCCTCCCATCGGTTGCTGTCGAGCTTTTTGTAGTCTTTGACGTGGCCTAGTTTGCCAAAGATTTCACCAACAATATCGTCCTTTTCGATTGGATCGCGTGTTTTCAAGATCTTGTGGACTGGGTGTTTACCATTGATCTCAATTGTCGAGTCTGTAATGGTTTCTGTTGCCAACGAGGGCCAGCGAGACCGATCCATGGCCTCTTCGGACCGTTTGGCGAAGTCTTCCACACTGAGTCCATCGGCAACTGGCGCCAAGATCTGTGGGTCCTTGAGCCATGCTACAATTTCATTGACAAAATCCACGCCGTAATTGAGTATACTCTTCGATTCAACAAATTGGTCATCGCGGTCGTAAAGAGAGAGAAACTCGTCCGAATAATAAGGGATGGAAGGACCAGGGATGCTTGTTGGGCTCATCGCAACTGAGGTGGAGGACCGACGGTTTCGCGATTCAGCCGGCAGACCCGGGGCAACCGAAATACCATTCATTGAAGTTGATGGGCGGCGAGACACCCTTGCTTTCTTGGATGGTGGTTGTTCGCGGGACCCCGAATCATGTCGTTTATGACCGAAGGCATTCCCATCGGCATCATTGGACTTTCTCTTGTGTGTTTTGGGACCAGAGCGTCTTGATTTCCGGTCACCGTCCTCGCTTTTCTCTCGGATCCGCCGCAGCCGTTGTCGTTCGTGAGCACGACGGTTGTCAAGGGGCCGTGGCTCGCAGTCGACACAGTTGTGCACATCTGGTACTTTCTTGTCCGGATAGTAGCACAGAATATGCTGCCATGTCTCGCACCCTTCGCAAAAAACCGTATTCCCATCATCTTCATCGAACGAGCAAATGCATTTGATGGTGTAAGGTTCTTCATCGGGTGCGCCGGAGTCAGAGGCGGCGCCGTCGACGGCGGCAGGGGACCCGCGATGGGCGTGGACCGGATAGGAATCCGTTGTGGCGTGCGTGATGGCGAGGGAGGAGGTATCTGTCATCGCCGACAGATGACCCCCTCTCAGGCGAAGACAAAATGATGTTTTCTCGACAGAGGCGTAGCCAAGCTGTCACAGTTCAAGTCGCATATCAATTTTCCTCGTGGTCGTGTATATTTCCAATCTCGTCTCGTTAGACAGTGGACGCGTTTGGAAAGTTGGAAGACGGTGCGGTCACAAGGAAGCGAAAGGGGGAGGGGAAGGAAGTCGTAGAATCGATGATCGGAAGAGATGAGAAGAGGTTGGCGCAAAAGTTAAATGAGAGAAAGGAGGGAAGAAAGGAAGAAAAGCGCGAAGGAAAAGAGGCTAGAGGAAAGGAGAGGAAAAAGAAGAGAGTGAGTTTGAGGAACTGGAGACAGAGGAAGGAGGAGGCTACGGGGGCCTAAGGCAGAGAATGGGCCGTCCGGGTAAGTAGAGAGACCAAGTGCGTAAGGGTGAAAGGGGGGTTGAGACTTGAGGGGAGGAACCGGAGGACTTCGAGGAAGGAGGGGGAAGGACTCGACCCGAAAACAGCCCAAAGTTGTCTCTTCTCTTTCTTTTTCTGGATTTCCTGGATTTCATTGTGAACAGTCACTGGACAGATTCCTGTCAATTTTTGCGAAAATTCCAAGGTTACCGGTATGGTAATTTGGTAATCTGCAAAACCGACTGTTCTCAGTAAGCCATGAAAATACGCTAGTCTCAATATGGACTTAGCGTAATTCAATGTAGTGGGGAAAGTCACGGGAATGTCATTGGATGCCTAGGGCATCCTGGAAGTAAGTCAATGGGGGCAATCCCCATAGCTGAGAGGTTAGCATCTAGATGGGTGAGTAGGAAACTGATATGGAGAAAAGAAAAAAAAAAAAAAGAACCATAGCTATACTCTCAGTCCAAAATGAATCGAGGGATAGCCCTATTGGTTCTTCCACTGGGGCTATAATGAAAGCCAGGCCTGTCACGCAGTAAAGCGAGATATCACCATCAAAGTGAGCAAGAACTCAAAATAATAGTATAGGTCTGGAGTGTGCTGAAAGGGTTTGTGATCTGGTTGTCCTTTTTTAAAAAAAAAAAAACCTCTTAGGAAAACGGGGATTTTCTTGAGGGAGGACAAAGGAATTCCTACGAACTCGGCTCGGGAACGAAATCCGTGAGAACGCAAGGGAGAACCTGAGGTGAGAAGGGCTACCTACGGGGGAGTATTAGATGATCAAAGAAGTGTTTTAGGTAGGCTGGTGAAGTATCCAGGCAGTATGACGGAGTATAAGGAAGTATGAAGAAGCAGGTCAAAAAAAGTAACATGGGGAAAGGCGGGTAGAAAATGCTTGGGAAAGAGATAGGAGGGAAAGATATCAAAGAGGGGCAAAAGGGTCATCTGTTCTTGTACGACAAGGTTTCAGGCATATATAATATATACGGAGTTATAAAATATATGGAAACCGGAAGAGAGAAAAGGGAAAAGGAGGAGGTTTTCGGGTCAAGTGGTAAAAGGGGGGGGCTTGTTAGGATTCCCATTATGAGATTTGGCGCCATTTCGCCACAAAGTACACAGGAAAAGTCCGGTCAGTTTCGGTATGATATATTGAAACTTACTGTATTATACTACGATGTCGTATTTTCACTTCTTTCTACCAATGTATGGATATTACTCAACCAGTCAACGACCAGATTTGCAATAAACATAAAGAGCTCTTGAATTTGAAACGAACGATAATCATTCTCTAATAATAACAGACAATCCTGGGTCGCAGACATGCCCACTCCACCATTCCACTTCTATACCATCTCGCATGTATCCTCGCATTAATCTCTGTCGGTGTATTAGGAAGGCTCTGTGAACATGGTCTGGCCGAGTCGCAGCTCAAATGCCCCGGAACTCCCTGGGATCACGTCGAGTTTACTCCGATGTGGGTACATCTTCGGTGTCCGAGGTTCTTCTCTTCTCTTGGTCCTTCGCGGTCGCCATGTCAGTGTCCACCCATCTTCACACATGTCTTTCAATTTCGACAACGGGCAAAAAGTCTTGGAATCGATGAAAAAAGAACAACAGGCCGAATACAGCGATGTTGACAAATGGGATGATCAGTCTGGCTGCTCGGGGCCCAATCAGATTTCCCTTGGGTGCTGCCCACAAGCCGCCGCTCAACAGCAGTAGGACACTGACCACCATCCCGAAATATGAGCCCAATGGCTGTGAATAGAAACTATGACGCCTGGTGATTCCTTTCAGTTTGAGCCGTCGATCAAAGTGGCGATAGATGGTGCATGACACAAGCGAGGAAATCAGACCGGCGCTCGTGACAAGGCGGAGGAGATAGATGTTCATGATTGTACTAGGGATTTTCACTGAAACAAAGGCAAGACAGCAGAACACGGCGGATGCTGTAACGGCCAAGTATGGAACATTCCAACGGTTGCGGGTGGAAAATATCGAAGGCGCATGGCCGAGCTCCGACATTGCACAAAGTGTGCGAGAAGAGAGATATAAAAAGGTTCGCCCAGAAGCCACTGCGGAGAGTAGGATTGCAATCATCGCGATCGTAGGTACAATTTGAATATTTGCATCTTTGAGTCCGATCAGGTAAGGAGACAACCCGGAGCCCGTTCCGTTGTTTGTCAGACGTGTCTCATTGAAAGGAGCCATAACACCCATGGCCAAGGAACTCAGGATATATGGAAATGCTGTTTGAAAAACATCAGAGGTGACTTTACTTGGGATGCCGGCGCTTAGAAACGCTGTTTCGCCAAGTGATTCTGGCACAAGTGATGCCGGCATTTCCGCTCGGTGCACAATCAACTCAGGGACAAACGTGAAAGCGATCGAGCCATCGAGGAGGCATTGGAGGAAAGCCAGGAATCGTCCCCATACGCCTCGAACTAGGTACTCGTTCATGGCGCCTGGATGTTTCCAGTATTTGAATCCCCATGGGGGCTGGGCATTTATACCTCCAAGACCCAGAGCCAGAGTGAGGACGAAGAGGCTCGCCATTGTGCCGATCTTTATCGCAGTGAACAATCGCTCAGAACTTTTGAAGAGCTTTTCTGGCAGGAAGTTGAATCCAACAACGATGGTCGTGATGATAGCCAATCTGATTGCGATCGTGGACCCCGGTTTCCACAGGCCAAGGTTGACCATCGCCGAGGTGATCTCGTATGGGACGAACAAAGCGAGAGTGTACCAACGAAGGTATGCTGAAGCAAATGCCAGACTGCTTGACATGTACAAGTAGCCGTTTGTGACTAGTGTTCCATGCTGGGACGGCTTGTGAGTACATACTTCGGCCAGGCTCGTGGTCATGACAAAGGTCAGGAAGGATAGGATTATATACGATATGAGCAGCGAGGCAGGTCCGCCAACTGCGAGCGCCTGGCCAGCGCCGATGAACAGGCCAGTGCCAATGGTCGGACCGACAGCCATGATAAATTAACAATGAATATTGATAATGAAGGGGTTATAACTAGGTGATGAGGGAGAGAAAGAAGGATGAGAATGGTTTTGGTTCGAGAAGAAAATGTCAACAGAGTTAACCAGGGCAGTTCCGAACATCGCTCCTTCCTCGTGTAATGGATATAGTTCGAGAAAGAACAAAAAAGGGAAAAAAAGGAATGAGGAAACAAAAAACCAACCTTGCATTCAACAAATTAGTTCCAGAAATACTACCAAGTGCGATGACAGGAGTATGCAGAAATCAAATGTAAAAGGGTATCATTGATTATGAAGGAAAATACAAGGGGTGATGGCCGAGAGGTTGGGAAGAGACAAGTACTGGGCATTTCTCAAGGATTTCCAATCACGTCTCGCAGTGCTTGGAGATCACTGAGAAGCCATGTCTGTTTCAGCGAACTCAAGCCATTCTCCAGACAGAGATCTTTTCCAGAACCGAACTGTCCCATCGTCTCCAGAGGAAATCAACGAGTCACCTAAAAGTGGTTTAGTGAAAATATTTAGGGTTAAGAGACAAACAAAGAGATACTCACCAGAGAACGAGAATTGAACCTGCCACACATCGAGGTGTTTACTGTCAATGCAAGCCACCTGTTTGAACGAGTGCCTAAATTGTGAATCCCCGTTGGGTTGGCGATCAGTCGCCGATGTAGGCACACGACTTGCCAGAGCAGAGCCGATCCCGGACTGTGATGTCGCTCTAAGCGACGGTGACTGCGACTGCGACTGCGACTGTGACTGCATGCGAAGTTCTGTCTTCCGGCCGTTAGAGCCCTGTGGCGCTTGGCCAGCTGGCATTGTGTATACTTCAAAGATGCGGACCAAGCCATCCTTACCCCCGCTCGCAATAAGATCGTAGCCACGCACAGAACCATTGGCCCAGGAAATATCTCTCACAAGACCGCTGTGCCCATTCAGTTCAATTGCATGGTAGAATCGCCGGTTTGCATCTGTACGGTAGATTTTGACGGTGTCCATGGCAGCCACAATTAGAGACAGGCTCTTCCGATCAGAATCCGGTGAGATAGTGTGAGTGATGTCGGCGGGATCATGATGAAACTGGACTTTGAAACTTGTTTCCTCGCCGCGTTCCGGGGCGGTGCACACTCGGAACTGGTCAACAGGCTGCCAATCTGCAAGGCTATCGGGGCTGACGGGTTCCATAACCATGAGGTAGCCATCGCGTGTTATCACCGCTAACCATGACTCTAGGTCAATGTTGCGAAAGTCGAGTGATACAAATGGATGTCTGTGTGGTGCGGTCATGCGAAAGACCGACTTGAAACGCCGTCCTGAGTTTGGAGGCTGGGTTACATCTTCTTGCCAAATTTTCAGCTTCATGTCCTCTCCAACACTGCCAATATGTTGGCCCGTGAAAGGGCCATTCCACGTGGCCTGGAATAGTATTTTAGTACATGAGCCGCAATGGCAGTCTTAGAATTGCGCCCTGGCTTGTTTGGGGACATACATCGCGAATCTCAGCATCGTGTGCGCGCCAGGTGTCTATAAGTTGCCATTGGCCATCCTTGAGATCCCAAACTTTCATGCGGTGATCAGAAGAAGCGGTGACAATACGGTTGCCATAGAAGTTAAATCTGGTGACGGTGACAAGATCCCGATGGCCGGCGTCGAAGTCGGCAAATCCAGCCGTTATCTCGGGACGCTCCACTGCCCCCATCGGAACGGACTGGGCTATAATATTGACGAATTAGACAGCTGGGCCAATGACGATTTAAATTTCATGCATCTGCACGTATGAGGTATGAAACAGGTGGTTGACGTCGCCTTACCTTTCTTGGTCGCAAGCATCACGGGATACTCTCTCACCGCTAAATTTAGCGGTCAGATAATTCTGGCAGAACACGATAAGCTTATCTTGTATTTGAAGAATGAAGACAGATTGCGCGTCGCCGACGTGGACTTTTACTCTTGTTGCATAGGTCAATTCCTTGTGAGTTTCTCTTCGCAGTAGAGGGAACTCCTTTCTGCCATCTCGGTCGTTTGTCCGCCATGCATCCCTTAAGCACCCTCTCTCGCAAGGAGACTTGGCGTCTACTAGCCCTCGTGGGGGCCGGTTTAGCGACACTCAATGCCACGTTCCAAGGTGATGGGGCCCCTTTAGTGGCTTCAATCGCAATATGTGGCATAGTGTTTGCGGTGGCTTTCAGCCTTATCAGATGGCTTGGGCCTGTATTTTTGAAGGCAGGACTTAAGGGCAAGGACATGGCAAAGCCTAGCCGGCCCGAAATGTATGTATATGGCTCTTGGACTTGAGATCATAGCATGTACTAATCCTTTGATCTAGACCTGAAACCATGGGCGCCGTTTGTGCAGTTGTGTATCTGATGTCACTCATTATGTTCATTCCGTTTGCCTTCTACAAGGATATCGTTGCGGCCACATCGGGCGGTGGAAACCGTGATGTTGTGATTGAATCGCAACATATTGAGAATGGCCGATTCCTTCATCGATTTCCACACGGCAAGGTCAGTTTTGATCTTCCATACAGCGAGACAGGTCTTAAGCTAACGCGCAACTGAATAGCTCGCCTCTTACCTTTCTGGTCTTTTGTCTTTGCAGTCTGTAGTGATTCTCGGAATCGGCGATGACCTATTCGATATTCGCTGGAGACACAAAGTCCTGATCCCTGCTTTCTCCGCAATTCCCATGCTAATTGTGTACTTTGTTGACTTTGGCGTCACGCAAGTCGTCGTGCCGATGCCGCTGCAACCCTACCTGGGTGACGTTGTTGATCTTGGATGGCTGTACTACATGTACATGGCAGCGGTGGCAATCTTCTGTCCAAATGCGATCAACATGTTAGCAGGGATTAACGGTATCGAGGTCGCTCAGTCACTAGTGATTGCGATCCAATTGCTATTCAATGATGCGATGTACCTTGCGCCCATGACACCATACCCGCACCCTGCCACGGACTCGCACCTGTTGTCGATATACTTCCTGCTACCATTTATTGGTGTATCAGCAGCCCTTCTGTTCCATAATTGGTATCCGTCGAAGGTGTTCGTGGGCGATACGTACTGCTATTTCGCGGGAATGGTGTTTGCCGTGGTTGGTATCCTAGGGCATTTCAGCAAAACCCTTCTGCTGCTGTTCATTCCGCAGATCTTCAATTTCCTGTACTCAATCCCCCAACTCTTCAAGCTCATTCCTTGTCCTCGCCATCGATTGCCAAAGTTCAGCGCTTCCACTGGGTTGCTGGACGCTTCTGTCACGGAGTGGACGAGCCCCCCCGTCGCCTCTAATCGATACCGCACTACGCTTATTACACAGCTTGAGACTGGTGCGAATTACCCAAGACGAGAATGGTCGGATTACTGAATCAAGTAATCTCACTATCCTGAATCTTTGGCTGGTGTGGATGGGTCCAATGCGAGAAGACCAACTGGCATGGTACATGGTTGCAGTACAAACTGTCTGTGGAATGCTCGGTCTGCTTGTACGACATCGTCTCGCGTTGCTCGTGTTCCCCCACGATAACAGGGAATTCGGTTTCATCGCATAGCTTTAAAAATGTCCTGGGTTACGAGAATCCTGGATCAGGCTTACCATAGAAGTATAATTTCTTTCAATGTATATATTTTCAACATGGAGAGGATACACCAAAGATTCTAGATTAGCATTATATTCTTCTACTATATTAATTCTTTCCTAGACTTGCACCGAAGTTTGGTCCTTTGCTCTAACCATTTACTCGTGAATCTCGGCCTCGCGCAAACCAGGAGTCTCTCTAGCGACCTTTTTATCTCCAAAGGCTTCTCCAACCTCCTTGACAATGAGCCAGGAAGGAAATATCGCGATAGCCCACAAGCCAAAGTTTAGGTATACACTCCCCACTGCAGCCATGATGCTCACGCTACTTAGGCCATACTGGAGACACCTCGTTAGTATTCATGTCGCACAGAAGCGAGATAAGAGGAGAACATACACTGACACATTGAGCGGCAGATTCAGTCCCACGCAACAAGCCCGCAATCCGGACGACCTCTTCGTGATCATCCGCAAGGTTGCCCACCAAGAAAAACCTGATCAATCAGCATCATTCCAACTGAACCATCGCACATCGAGGTTCAACTTACAGATACATATAGTTGAGCTGGAAGCTAGCAACCCAAAACAGGAAGAGGGCGAAGGCTCTTCCGAAACCTGGGTCGTTCCAGTCATATGTCGGCTGTGTTTTGTTGAACTCCGTTGTTACCACTGAAGCCCAAATCCAGCACATGCCCTGCCATCCGACAACCAGGAAAAATGCGTATCGACTTCTCTTTTTCAGAGATATCCGTTTGCTGTCAAGGAAGGCTCCTAGAAGGTTGCCGATGATCAAAGCAATCACACCAGAAAGGAATGACCCAAGAGCTCTGGCCCGTACTGTGAACCACAACCCCTCATAGGAAAACATCACAGCCTCTGTATACACAGCCTGACAAATAAGTGGAACGATGTACAGAAACTTGCGACTGATCCAAAGCTTCGACATGCTCTTCAGCTCGTATCCGATACTGTTCGTCACCTGAAGTTTAACTGGGACCCCATCCTTTCGCTGCACCTGAGATGGATTGTTCAGAAGGAGACCAGCAAAAGGACCAAGAGCTTGTAGTGCAATGAAAATCAAGTACACAGTGTATGAGATAGAGCCCGAGGTCGATTGATGGGCATTGATGCCCAGACTGATAACACCGCCGAGAATTTGCCCACCAACACGGAAGCTGAGCCAGAATCCCAAGAAGCGTCCTTGGTTGTATGGCTCGGGATATGAAAGTGCAATTGCTGCCTCTGCCATCCAAAAGATGCCTGCTGATATGCCGCAAAGTGCCGCGCCCAGGATCACCAGCCATTCTTTACCAAATCGGTTGTTTGTGTACAGCCCTGCTGCGTAAGGTGCGAATCCCATTGTTCCAACGATGAGTGTCCATTTGATACCGATAAATCGCACGATGACACTACTAAAGAAA